ACAAGACGTTGGAAAATTAAGATCAATGGCGATAAATCGGTGCACGTTAACTATACGTTACGTAAAACTGAAAACATCCAATTAGTACTGAATCAATCACCAATCCCGCAAAAAGATTCAGCAAAGTATCTTGGAATGCATCTATCTTGRCTCTCGTCTAAACTGGAAACACCACGTCCGTCAAAAAAAAAATCAGATTAAAGAAAAAATGCGAAGACTTTATTGGTTAGTCGGACCTTACTCCGAGTTAACCATCGAAAACAAACGTCTACTGTATATGTAGCAATTATAAAACCGAGCTGGATATATGGCATTCAATTGTAGGGTTGTGCCAGTGATTCTAATATCGATGTAATACAACACTGTCAATACATTGCCCCTMGGACCATCACTGCAGCTTACCGGTTCGAAAGAAACAACGCAATCCACCGTGATATGATGCTGCCAACAAAAGCAGACGAAATGGAAAGTTTTGCTCGCAAACACGAGACGAGGCTAGATCACCATATCAATCCATTGGACATTCAATTATTAGACAACTCCAAGGATATCAGATGTCTTAAACGTCTGAAACCATATGACTTAGTTTAAGATTTTAGATTAAGGCAGGAGGTATTTCATTGGAAGTGATCCCATCAGCGTGTAATATATATAATAATATATWTATGTAATTTATATCTAGTATGTAAAATATATATAATTTTCAAACATATTTATAAARACCTTTGGGTCGTTTAAATAATAAAGTCCTAAGGCATTTAAAAAAAAAATATCTAAGGTTATAATTGTAACGGAGCTACCGAAGACAATACTCCGTCACTTTTAATAATTTATACAAGTGGTGTTTTGTGTAATTATCCTGTTTATTTCATATACAAATATATTTATAACTTGCAGGGGGGGGGGATTTGACTGCTCACGTTCCCGTGACTGCCTGTATTAGTACTCGGGTATGAGGCGGTCTTACATAATCGGGTATTTGTTTTTATATGTACATTGTCGGGACGGCCCGGGTGGCTATGATCAGCCCGCTCGAGAAAGTGGCGTCGATCAATAGTCCCGGGTGGGAAGCGTGGCCTAGGCAGGCCCGCTTGGGGAGACTATCTACGTGTCGTTCGTGGCCCTGATAAGGGCCGTTTAAATTTCCGCCGAGTATACGGAGTGAGGTGTGGTTCTCTGAATCCTCTTCGAAGCACTCCGGGATGGTTCTGGCTCGGCTCCTTGGATGAACGTTGGTGGTCAGGAGTACGTATCKTCTCTGCGTACTGCGTGTCAGGATAGCCACAACATACTGTCCCAATTCGTCGTCGAGAGTCGTATCACGTGAGGTGTCCGTGAACGTCGTTGCTACTGTGACTAACCTGATACGACCGGGTCACAATTAGGTCGGTACGGTTTAGCCCGGGAACGGGCTGTTTTAACATGGTACGGTCGATGTCGGCGGCTGGCTGTGTCGCCGTCCGGTGGTCTGGATTGCACTGGTCCTGCTCGAAGTCAGTCTTCACTAGCGGCGGCCAGTTTTGGTGGTTGCGGTGTTTATCTTCGGCGTTGGTTGTTCTCCTTTGATCCTTCAGTAGAGAGCAGAGTGTGTTGATCTCTTGATGTCTTGTTGTCTGGAAGGTTGAAGGAATACTGGTGATTAGTTGGTAAGATGCACCCGTATATATACCACTTTCCGCTCTGGGTGCTGTTCTCATTGTCGGAGATTCTATGTTTTTGGCGAGTGAAAGTGACATCGATCCTATAACCTGTTACGCGTCATTGATGTCATTTTCAATCGACATACTCGTCGACAATACTTGTCGAAAATCGTATTGTTTCTACCATATCGCATATTTGTTTGTGTTATGTTGTCTTGTCATACGTATTGAATTAGTGGCCGTGAGGACGGCCGTTTGAAGTGTGGTTGTCTGTGCCGYATCATAATATTCAACACTAAGTTTTCCATAAGTTTTGCTTCAAATAGCTATAGAGAAAATTTGAAGCGTCAAAATAGGAAAAATGTTTTGAGCGTTTAAGTTTTAAATTTTTATGAAATCGCATAACGATAACGATTTATCCTCAAACCAGGATATGTATATCTATGCAAGGTTTTTGGAAAAATTGATTAACCAAGCCTTATGAAAAATGCGTCCCAATTGAAAAATAAAATATTTGTCTCAAAATAGAATATATGACAATATTTAAATAATAATATATCCTAGACTGACAAATCATCTCCGTTCAGAATCGTTTTTCGTATACAATGATACATATCATTGCATTCAAATCTAACTTACCCTAGTCAGAGCTCCACYCCAYCACCTAATGTACAGCAGAACGTTTTGGGGCAGTAAAAGTGCTTAGATTTTTGACTTCAGTACCTCGTTCGATCTGAAAGTGAATATTTTTCTAAATAATCGGGATAAACAAACTAAAATATAAGGGAAAAACAGGAAATTTTACGTAGAATCAGTTTTTTCGACAAAATCGATTTTGATTTTTTATGTAACTTTAAAACAAATGACCATTTATACATGAAATAGTTTCAAAAGTTTCTGACTTAAGTTAAACTATTCATAGGTATATGCAATTTTCGATAATTATTAGTTTTTTTTTTAAAATTAATGTCGTTAAAAATTTATTTGTTGGAAAGAAAAGTAAGAAAATTTAATACATGACTCTTMACATATTGCTACAATAGCAGTTGAAAAATAAAATAAATCCAGTCACAATTTTTTTTATAAGCATTCAAAGTTTGAATTTTGAAAAATTACGTAAAAATCACGAAAATTCGCAAATTGTTTTAAGCTAGAAATTCATAAAAAATTTCTTTTTAAATCTAAGATTTGAAAATTTGATAAAAGACTCCTTACAAGTTTAAAATTTTTATCACAAAAAATTTTCCACCAGAAATTCAAATTAAATTATTATGAGCGTATGAAATAATTTTTATAACATTGGACTTTCACTGGATTTCACATTTAGCGATTTTCTTATCTTGGCGTATCTCTAAAACAAATGACCGCAGATACTTGAAATTTTCACTGAATGTTTATATATAGGAATTTTCTATTTTGATACAATTTTCAAAATATTTAGAGATGGATTTGAACTGGTTACTGACATTTTAATTTTGCAACTTTTTTAGTTTTTTTTTCTATAAATATCGCTAAAAATTTATTTGTTGGGTAGAAAAGCTTGAAAATTTAAAACAAGGCTCTTAACATATTTTTACAATAGCAGTTGATAAATAAAAGAAATGCTTATTCACAATTTTTTTTACAAGCATTCAAATTTTAATTTTGACAACATACATAAAATCATGAAAATTCTCAAATTATTTTAAGTTAGAAAATTCATAAAAATTTTTCTTTTTAAWTCTAAGATTTGATAATTTTTAATAATAATATATCTTAGACAGATAAACCGTTTCCGCTCAGAATCGTTTTTCGTATACAATGATATAATATTGGATTCAAATAATTTAATTCCATCCATTATAGTAACCCACTTGTAACCTTCTGTACAGCAGAGTGATATCCACTTTCCCGGTTTTTAAAATTTAATTACACAAGAATGTGCTTTAAAAAATATTGTTTTTCACGTTAAAAATTAGTATTTACTTTATCTATTTTTGATTAGTGTCCACGAATTTTTTCTGCTATGCAATGAAGCCCTTGAACAATAAACTTGGCATGGATAACTTTAGGATAAAAAAGTTTAATTGCATTTCAACTTTTTATCATATAAGATGCCGTGTCACAGCAATATAACAAGACGTCATTATGCCKCACTCTCTCGGGCCACAAAATATGCATAGAGTCATCAAATAACTTTGCAATAGTCGAGTTATTAATTTTAGGCAGTACTTCAGAGTTTAATAAAAATGTTTGTCCTGCTTTATCCAWGTCGAGAGTACCAATAATGACGTTGGGACAAAGTGGCCTAAAGAGTCAGTGTGTGGGGTCTCATCGATGGATACCCAGATTTTTTTGTCAATAACAGCATTTCTAATTTTAATTGATGTTTCATCGTAAATTTCATCTACGTAGCCTTTTCGTAATATGATCACGCCTAGAATTATTTTGCCAGTATATTTTACTAAAAATGATTTATTATTTAATTTATTTAACGGTAGGCATATTGGCCGATAACTTCGTGGAACACAAATCTCTATTGAAGCACAATTTTTTGGTATCAGTTGGAAAAATCTGTTGAGCTTTTTTATATTTACGTTTTCTTTCTTTCTGGGCAACAAATTGTAGATGTTTTCCAGTAATCAAATGTTGGGTAACATTAAACCTTTTTTGCACTTTCACACTCGATATTACAAATTTTACAATACAGTATTTTACYGTCTGTTGAGAACACTTCAGGAATCAGGACTGAATTTAGATAGKTACATAATTGTTTGATTGTCAAAATAAAGACACTTTATCTTTAGGCATTTTGTATAATAATATAACGCGTTTGGACCTATGTTTGACGGTCAACCGTTGAGAAACACAGAGAGAAAAATGAATAAGTCCGATGTCTGTGACAGGCATCCCCGTGGCACGTATGGATAACATTTTGTGCGTTGAACAATATTATCTTATCTGTCTACAATTAATGTAATTAATAACCCGACAAATAGCGGCATTYGATYGGCAAATCTCGAGAAATATCGTCGATAATATCAATGCTATTTTTGGTTGTATGAATAACGACGACCCTCAGGGTGACACTTAGTKTTACGGGTTTAGCGAACCTGGGGCCCCGAGCTGAGGCGTAGGGAAAGTGGCGCTCCCATCGCCCAATGTGCTTAGAGTACATTGCAGTAGCTCTGCTTTAACCTTCATTGGTTGGGGTAGCCTGGTTCTCCAGATTGGGGTTTAAGCGCAGGGCTAATAACCCTGCCTTGTAAAAAAAAAAATATGTTTAGGATTCACACACCAAGGCCTCGGAATACAGATAAGGAAAAAAGAACTGGCAACTGGAATTTGGACTTGCTTTGTGGTATATGGACCGTAAAGACCATGTACAAACCTGGCGTGGCTTTGGAATTAGTAAGGGAAGTGGAGAAATATAGAATGAAGTGCGTAGCCTTGCAAGAGGTGAGATGGGAAGGTGTCATGACAACTAAGATATCACAAACTACCATATTTAATGGTAACTGTTAACGTGGCCACAGTTTAGGAACGGGCTTTGCTGTACATGAGTCAATTATCGGTGCAGTAAAATACTTCAAAAATATTAACCCAAGACTTTCAACATTAACATAAAAAACAGAGAATGCCGATATTGTATTAATTAATGTACTTGCACCCACTGAAGAGAAAGACGAGGAGGAGAAAGAATATTTTTATGCCACACTAGCCAATGTATATGATTCATCAGAGGGAAGTTTAAGAATAGTGCTGGCAGATTTAAATGCAAAATTAGGTCAAGAAGCAGAATACAGGAATTATTATTACATAAATATTGGATCCCAGAGCTTACACGCAATTACTAATGATAACAGAACAAAATTAATTGACTTCGCGGTAGGAAAAGGGCTAGTAATAAAAAKTACCATGTTTCCGAGAAAAGATATACATAAGTACACGTGGATCTCTCCAGACGGAAGACACAGAAACCAAATTGACCATGTGTTAGTCTCAAATAGGTTTAAAAATAGCATAGTAAATATAAGAACCCTGCGTGGTGCGGATATAGGTTCCAACCAYCTATTAATTATTAGTATATGGATAAAAGTGAAACTCAAGAGATTATTTAMACTTTACAAAAGAAAGACAGGGCGATATGATATAAATAAACTAGAGGACCAGGTCATAAGCACAGTTTTTAAAGACAATATTAAGAACGAGCTGCAAAATAAACAGAGGTTATCCAACGATGCAGTGGATAGAGAATGRGAACAAATAAAGGAGACGATAAATAACGTGGCAAMAAGGACCCTAGGGAATAAAAAACTGAAATATAAGCMATGGTTCAATGGGATCTGTGAGGCAGCAGTACATAGAAGAAACCTGGCAAGGAAACAATGGCTAAATGATACAAGCAATGAAAACTTGTTTACAAGCTTGAGMACTCGACAGAGGGAAGCAAGAAATATCATAAGATGTGAAAAAAGGAAATACATACAGAATATAATGAACAGTGCGGAACAAGATTACAGTACACATAGGACCAGGGACATGTACAGTCGGGTAAATACTCTAAGAGGAAAGTAAAAAAAGAAAGAAAGGTTCTTAAGACACGAAGATGGTTCATTGATAACAACTGATGAYGAGCTAGAAAAAAAGTGGGGTAACTACTTCAGAGAACTGTTGAATTGTGAAGAACCAGAAGAAACCTTTATTTTTGATCTTGCCAAAAGGGATATTATAGATTGTACAGAACCCACGTTAGATGAGGTAAAAAATCGAATAAATAATTTGAAGAACCACAAGTCACCAGGGGAGGATGAGATCCAAGCAGAACTCTTAAAAAAAGGAGGAGAAGAAGTCTCATTTAGAGTTTGGAAACTGATTTGCCGAATATGGTAAAATGAGAAATTACCAACAGAATGGAAGACAGCAGTGCTATGTCCAATTCACAAGAAAGGGAATRAACTGGACTGCAATAATTATAGGGGAATAGCTCTCCTAAATGTAACATGCAAAGTCTTTTCGAACTGCATACTATGAAGGTTAAAGAGCGAAGCAGAAGAAACTATAGATGACTATCAGGGAGGATTTGGACCAGGAAGGTCGACAGTAGATCAGATATTTATCCTCAGACAACTGTTCCAAAAAACTTGGGAGTTCGACAAAGAGATACATGTTCTTTTTATCAACTTCAAAAAGACATACGAAAGCGTACGTAGAGCAAGCCTAATCAATTGCCTGGAAGAATTTAAGTTACCACAAAAATTAATAAGACTTATTGGGTTAAAAATCACAGAAGTAAAAATTAAGGTAGGAAGTGCAGAAACAGAGCCAATACTAATAAAATCTGGGTTAAGACAAGGAGACTCAATATTACCGATTCTGTTTAACTTGATTTTAGAGAAAGTAGTAAAAGAAATGTATATTCAACCACAAGAAGGTGTTAAGTTACAAGAACCGAATATAACAATTTTAGCATATGCAGATGATGTGGTACTAATGAGCAAATCACAAGATAATTTAAGATCACTATTCACTCGTCTGGAGGAAAAGGCAAAAAAAGTAGGGTTACAAGTAAACGAGGAAAAAACCGAATACATGGTTGTTGGTAGAAGAGATAGTGTGGCCGTTTTTCCACATCTGAAAGTTGGTAGATATGAGTTCAGTAGAGTCAAACAGTTTAAGTACCTGGGTTCAATATTAACAGAAAAAAATGAGATTGACAAAGAAATAGCATGAAGAATCCTATCAGGAAATAAATGTTTTTATGGACTCACGAAAATATTAGGATCACGATCTCTGTCAATAGAAATGAAGAYACAACTATACATAACCTTAATACGCTACGCTCAGTTGTCACTTATGGGACTGAGGCCTGGCCATTGAGAAAGACTGAGGAAAGGAAAWTACTGGTTTTTGAAAGGAAWGTTTTAAGGAAGATTTTTGGACCTGTTATGGACAGAGAAACAGGAGAGTGGAAAACGAGAAAAAATGGGGAACTGGAAAGGATGTTCCGGAAAGAAAATATATTAAGCGTAATCAAAAGCCGAAGACTTCAAAGGGCTGGACATGCTATGCGAAGCCAGAACCATCTCATAAGGATGATCATGGACGAGAACCCAGTAGGCARGAGACCACTGGGAAGACCACGATTGAGGTGGGATGATGTGATAAGAAAAGACGTGGAAACACTGAACGGAGGATGGGATTGGAAAACWAGAGCGGTGGATAGAGAACGCTGGAGGATTGGATGTGTCATGGGATGGTCTTGATGGCCGGAAAACCCAAGAAGAAGAAGAAGAATGAATAACGACGACGCAAAAAATATTAGTAAAATAATTATAAATTATTTAAAATATGCATCTAAAAGTATAAAATGGAAGAAATCAGCCCAAAAAACCAGAGGCATGAAACGCATTTGTTTCGCACTCTGCTATTTTTGTGACTGCAAAAAAAAAATATGCGAATGCTACAAATCCTCTGCCCTAATGATCAATWACTAACAACAACCAGCAACAAAGCATCTAAACATTACAGATTTGATGATCATTAAAAAGGTTTAATGAAAAATTAAATTAAAAAGAATTAAATATAATTTAAGAAAGATGATACAGTTATACAAGTTATAAATAATTGCTATCTTGAAAATTTGATATTTTTAGATAGCATATATTTTTGTTTCTAAAGCCCACGAAATAAGTACTCGGAAGACTTTCATTAWCATGCTTTGATGAAAACTGATAATATATTATTGATAATTAACTTTATATTAAGTCTATTACAACAACAATTGTGTGAATAATTGACAGTATTTTTTTCTAGGGACTTTGGTCYAATATTAATTTAAATAATGGTATGATATTAATAAGATTATCATTAATATTTTGTTCTTATAATCCAGGCCCTGGTATGGAATTTAATTTTAATTTTTTCATTGATGTTTATAACTCTTTATATCTTTTTTGTTTGAATGTTATTTAATTTATATACATTTACAATAGTTTTTTCTTTCTCAAAATTATTGTTTTTAATCAATTAATAATCATAGAAATTAAAATTTTCCAATCTATAGAACACTCGTTAGACGTAATAAAAGCAATACATTATGGACGAGTGTGAATGTGGGACCTGTCCYGAATCTGATATAATTGATTAGCTACATAGTATGTAACCTAATTAGATTTTCCAGACTTAGTTTTCAATTTCAATTCTGGTTACGTTTTCTGTGTGTTTGATAAGTACAAACATTTTACATACTTCATATACATAGCTATTCAAAATTATTTTTTTTAAACACTATTCCTTAAACATGTTCTCCGTCATTTTCGACACATTCGGGCATCCCGGCATAGTGGAAAAGGTCAAAAAATATTACGACCTATTATATTTATAAATATTTCGRAGTGACTGTGATGCAAACTTGTRAAACATACATAAAAAATAATTAATTAATAAATAAATAAATTACTATATAAATTCAGATCAAATAAAAATTAGTTTTTTCTTTTTATCAATTACATTTGAGACTTGTTTTTCTAATCAAAATTAAGTTTATTGAGTACTTTTCTAATAGAACTAGATTTATATTTTTAATCGTTACAATTTATGAATAATTTATAATTATATTAATACATATTATTACTCGGTGTTTCTTTTTAATAGAAATATGCTGTAAGTTTTTTTTAGTTTAAGCAATTAAAAATGTAAATGTGTAATTTTCCCTTTAATAATGAATTTATTCAAATTCAAATTTTTGGAATTTTCAAATATACTCAAAAACCATATTTTCAAATTCTTGAAATTTGTTGTACTACTTAAAGAGTCTTTTTAAAGACAAAAGTGATACAGTGATACTTCTGTTTTTCAAATGAAAATTTCCCTTTTTTTTGTACATAATTTAGAAAATAATTTTTTAAACATTTTGATGTACTAAATTAAAAATCTGAATTCGTAGTTTTTTTTTAATTTTATATTGATAAGGCGTCATTATCTTAGGTTATTAGCCTACAATTTTAACAATATGAACAAAACGAAATTTACATATATTTACAATATATGGGCTAGGTGAATATAATAGAAAAATTTATAAATCACTTCAGTATWATCTTCGCTGAGAGCAAGTCGGAGAGAAGTTACGTTTTTAAAAATTGTTCGAGCTTCGGTGTATTTTGGTCATCTTGTGATGATGTGGTCGATACATAATTTCACGTTGCATGTGTTGCATATACTGGCAGTATGCTTTTTTGAATTTTTCCCCATTATATTAAAAAAATTCGTTAGTTTTGTATATGATCAGCTAGAAAAGGGTCAAACTCTTTTATTAATTCTAAGCATCCCAAATAATTACCATTATTTTGATATTCCAACATTTCATAATCGTCACGAAATCCAAGTCCTCTTGAARCCAAATACTTCACCACAGCAACAATCCTTTTGAGTACATTCTTCCAATAATTTATTTTAACATAGTATTGGGGAATCAATCCATTCGAGCAATAGTTTTGCTTCTTGAGATATACTTCATCATTGATTTCTTGTGTAGTGAACTATTCTCATGCTCCATTAAAGAGTTACTAATATTCTTCCAATCTTTGTATCCATTAAAAGAACTCAAACTGTTGCCTATAGTAATAGTATAATTAAAAATACAACAGCAATAACAATATACAGATTTCTTCAACGGTGAATATGTATATGGGCCAACTTCCTTGTACGCACTCTCCATTCGTCAATTTGCGGGTGAAAACATTTCTAGTCAAGCTTCTAGTTTTTGTTTTACCACTTACATCTGAAAAACTTGTAAARGTTTCGGAGAAGTCACTATTTTTATTCTGGAAAAACTCTGGTCCTTTAAGTATCCAAATATCGCGTTTTTCTTCAGTTAAAATATCATTACAGTAAGTACCAGGGTTGTGACTCGTGAGATATATTTTCTATAATATGTRTATTTGTTAAATCGCAGTTGCTTAAGCTGGAAGTTTTAAACTCTGATGTGTTAACGGCTGTCGTTAAATGTGGAGCAGATGAACTCAAAACAATTGTTATATCATTAAAAGTGGGTCCAGTTTCTGGAYTTTCAAATTTAGAGGTACCTTGATATGACGAGGTCGAAAACTTAGTCTGCCTGTTAGTTTCTTCGAGTGTAAAAAATGAAGTAAGCTTAGGCAGTTTGCTAATATTTCCTTTTTGGATCTCAAGTCTTTTTCTTTTTTTCTGAACCACTCAATATGTATTTTTGACATAATTAAATGAAACTACAATTCTATTACAGACACTAATAAAATGTTATATTTTTATCATAGTTAAATAAACTAAACGAAACGGACAAACGGTGCACTTGTATTGGCTGTCAGTTTTATYGTGTATTTACTGAAAAAGTTTAAAATCAAATTCCTATTCAATTCACTGCTTTGACATAATTARGATAAGATAAATAATCCAGTACATAATAAGGACAGATAGAAACTGATATAGATTATGGGCGCTGCAGTAGTTGATTTATATAATGTATACAATTTGTTATAGTTTCTCGCATTTGTGTGGGTAACCCCTCCCGCTCCCGCCCACAACATAGTCCGCGAGTCGTTGCCGATAACCGTCGTAATCGTAGGATCGGTAATGGCGAAAACATTACAATTTAAAATAGTAATTTCGATTTGGCTGGGGGCCCCATTTGGCTGAGGGGCCTTGGGCACGTGCCCATAGGGTAAAGACGGAACTGCATACTGGAGCAGGTTCCTTGGTGTTGAGGAAGGAGTGGGTTAGGTGAGTGTGTACTATTCTGGCTCCGGTTATAATAACTTCGTCTCTTCTTTTAAGACGGGAAA